ATTCTGCTGGAATTTAGTTTACTTCTTGATGTTTTTGCAACAAATCAAACCAGATCTTCCACACTGCACAATGAAGTTTTGTACCTGTACTTACGTAACAGGCATATGACAGGGAGACAACCCCGCCTTCATTTTGCTTCTAAGCAACTCTCGAAAGAGGGAGTTCCATCGAAATTTTTGCGACTGTGTGTTGTCGTTTGTCACCACTCTCTTACTACTTCCTGAGTTCCTTCACCTTTCAGAAAGAGGGAATATGGAGGCAATTTTATCTTTTTGACATAGTTAACTTATGACAAAACAAAATAAGCATTAATGTGTTTTTGAGCCTACTTTAGACATACCGTAATTGCAGAGCTACAGTATCCGGGCCTGAAAAATCTTATTTAAAAAAACTTTTTCAGTTATTTCCAAAATTGCAAAAATGTTTGGGGGTTTTACTTTCTGCTAATTTTTTCCTTATTTTTAGGCCTTTCAAATGTGAATTATGCAAGGAAAATTTTGAACAAAAGAACCAGCTTCTGGTGCATTACAATTCGGTGGCGCATCTTCACAGGGCTAAGAAAATGTTGGAAGAGCAATCGAATAATTTCCAGCCCAGTGCCCAGGTAAGAAATTCTTGTTTTTCCTGACCGAAATTCAATGATTCGTTAAAACGAGTTGTTGAGGTAAAAGTTTTTCGCGGTGCTCTGAATTACTGGAATATATTATACCATGAGTGAATTTTTATATCTCCTGTATGGGGCTACAAATGTCTTCCAGCTAATTATCTTCTAAAACCAAGTTTGCATTTGAGATATAAACGGGTTTTCGGCGTCAGCTTTGGTCTAGCCGGTCTTTGATGCTTGATGTTGATTCATTTCTATATTACTTTTAGCTTAATTAGGCTGTTTTTAGAATAACGAATAGAGAAAAGATGTTAATTGTTTTTACTAGGTATTTATGTGGTCACTGATTTGGAGCTACAGTAATCATAGATTTTCACGGACACAGTGATTATCGAATTGCATTGATTGAACTCACCG